AAAAAAAAAAAAGAAAAATTTCCCCAACTTCTTATCTCAATGGGCTTTAACAGTGTTTTTGAATCATATTTAGGAACTTTTCTGTCACGACCCAGGGGTGTGCATGTTACATTAATACAGCACATGAAATAGGCTTTATGACTCTAGTTGAAAAGTGGTTAGAATGAAAACTGGAAATAAACAAGAAAGCATCTCCTACTTCTGCAAATGTTAACTGTTACTATATTTGACCTTGGCATCAGTGACCCAGGTAATTTGGATTTCATTTTCTTTTAGGCTACCGAATACTACATTCACCGAATTCCGAGAAGCCGTGAGGTTCGGCAGTCCTGGCTCTCCGCAGTGTTCACCACCTTGCGCTCCATGTTGGTCTCCTTCCCCCTTACTTTCCGGTTGAAGCCAGATGTGGTATGTAAAGCCCTCACTAGACACAGGAAAGCAACCCTCCCGTGGACCTTCACTAGGAACAGGATGCTATATTTTGTTTTCTTAAACAGCTGCTGTTTACCAGTATGCCAGCGAGGCTCCTAGACCCTAATTAATATATGCTAAAATTTATTGTCTATAAAGTCACTTTGCTGAAAGAACTGAGAAATTTTCCTGCCTTTTCTAGCTATAATTTAAACTTGAAATTTGCCCTTTGCTTTATCTCATGGTAATAACCACTAACAGAGCAGTAGCTTAAACCAGTTTGTATACCTAGCTGACGTGTGCTTATCAGCCAAAGAGCCAATTCTTTACTCCTTTTTAATAGTCTTTTTTGTTTTTCTCAAGACTCTGCTATCACATATGGTATGTGGTAGGCAGAATGTCATACATACTCAGGTTTTTATAGGAAAGTAATGTAGAAAATAGATGAATGAAAACTTAATTAGTGCACTCTGTGTTCAGCCTTACCTTCCTTATCCATAAAAGTCTTAATTAAGCTCTCTCATGGTCTTTAGGATAAAGTTCTATTACTAAACTCCATGTGGTCAATAAAGGTCAGTGGATATGTTATCATAGTAGTATACACAGTTCTTAAATACTGCTCTCATTACTATTGAAAACAGAATTCATTAACTGGCATAGCCTGAAAAGAAACCCTACTTGCTTTCTGAATACATGAATTCTCGTCTAGTGTATGTTATTCTCATGAATAGCTGAACAGAAATGCATTTAGCTGCAGTGGTTTTGAAAGATACTTATCCATGTGTTCATGGTCTTTCATCAACTGGGTTGCAGGTCAAGTCCTTCTTTTGGATGGGAATTTTTTTTTTTTTTGAGACAGAGTCTCAAGCTTTCGCCCTGGGTAGTGCTGTGGCATCACAGCTCACAGCAACCTCCAACTCCTGAGCTCAAGCGATTCTCCTGCCTCTACTGCCCAAGTAGCTGGGACTACAGGCTCCCGCCACAACACCCGGCTATTTTTTGTTGCAGTTTGGCCGGGGCCGGGTTTGAACCCGCCACCCTTGGTATATGGGGCTGGCGCCCTACTCACTGAGCTACAGGCGCTGCCCGGTGTTAGCATTTTAAACTGTGAATTTTAGGTTCACATTTACTAAATTATTAAAGAGACGTGGTCACTTTGGCAACAGCTTGCTAGAGTGCAATGACATTAGGATTCCAGGGTATTAAGGCTAAGAAGGAAATGATGATGTGATTGATGGCTGGGGTCTGCTGTGGATACTCTGCTGGTCACCTGGCCTGAGTATTTGATGCCGTTATAGTGGTAGACCTTGTGGGACATAGGACAGTTGGTTCCAGGCCCATTTGGGCTTTCATTTTGTTTTAGTCAGTTCTCTTCTTGGCCTCATTCTTCACCTTAAAATGAAAGGTTTGAACTAGATAGCCTCTCAGTTTCCTTCTATCTTAGTCTAAAGTTTTCTGAGCTCTATAAATTTGCTCAGTAAATTTGATCAGTAAAAAGTAGAAGGGGAAAAAAAGATGATGTTTTTAAGGAATAAGAGGAGAAAGGTGAGTAAAGGTAAGATATTTATTTCCATTTTAAAGTGAATTAGTTAAAATAATTATTTCCAACCTAAACGTTATCTTATCAGCTACTCTGATAAGGTTGGCTTTACCAAATGAGCTCTCACTTAATGAAATCCCCTTTCACAGAGAGGAAAGTTAAAGGTTAAGAGACATTTTTTGTAGATCTCTCTATTCAGTGGACTATGTGCCTCCTCAAATTCATATGTTGAAATCCTAACCCTCACGGTGATAGTACTAGGAGGTGGGGACTTCAGGAAGTGATCAGGTCATCAGGGCAGAACCCTCCTGGATGAGATCAGTGCCCTTATAAAAGAGACCCCACAAAGTTCCCTCACCCCTTCCACCAAGTGAGGTTACAGTGAGAAGAAGGCTGTGTGTGAGGAAGCAGGCACTTAGCAGAGACTGCCTTGGCTGGTGCCTTGATCTTGGACTTCTCCAGCAACAGATACAATGTTTATTGTTGTTTATAAGCCACCAGTGTATGGTGTTTTGTGATAGCAGGTGATATAAATTAAGATATCATCCTTGGATTTTTTTGTGACTTTTGTCACAAAGCACTATTTCTTTCAATTTTTTTAAAATGTGGAAGAAAATGCCACTCTTTTTTTTTCTTTTTTTTTTTTTATTAAATGATAGCTCTATACATTAATGCAAACAGGGGGTACAGTGTAGTGTTTTCATATACATTTTGAAATACTTTCATCAAGCTGGTTCACATAAATTTCATGTCATTTGCATAGTCATTGTGTCTTAGAAAGCATGGCAACATCAGACCTTAACTTACCAGCACTGTCTGAACAGCTGTGCCCTGTTCTGCTTCTCTTTAACTGTGTGCACCTGAGTTAATAAGTCTGCTAATTGATTCACCTATTTCTGACCCTCACGTCATCATCTATAAAAAATAAATAATGACACTTTCCATGTTGTTCCAGAATGATTGCTGAATAATAGAACATTTTAATGGTTTCTAAATGGGAATTCCATCTGCAAGCACTTACACGTATGTGCCAGACCTGGTATAACCACTTTGTGTTCATGCTGTATGAGATGGGTAGCATTGCTCTTCACAATTAAGGAGTAAGAGAACTGTGGCCATAAGATAGAGTTACTTCCTCAGACTTTACACAATCATTAAGTAATAGACCTGGAACTTGAATCTGGATTTTTCTGATTGCAAAGCCCAAGGCCTTACTGCTAAAGTGTGTGCTACCATTTCTGGCACACACTGTGGAGGATGTGTTCATTCATTCACAGCAAATAAGAATCAATTAGTAAATTACTTCTTGGCACATTAAATATCATTGCTTCTAAATAATGGATGTGTAAAATGAAAATATATCGCAGCAAGTAACTTTCATGGTAGATTTAACAAAGACTGACCTATTGGAATAAAAATAGTATAGATCGTTCAAAATTAAATGTCATGTATATTTTTCAAAATAAAATATACTGACACATAATAAACGTTTGTAGTTTGGGGATACATGTGATAATTTAATACATTCCTATAATTTAAAGATCAAATCAGTGTACTTAGGATATCCATCAATAATTTTTTTTTGTGGGGGGAGGAACAGAGTCTCACTTTGTCATCCTCAGTAGAGTGCTATGGGGTCATGGCTCACAGCAACCTCAAACTCTTGGGCTCCAGCAGTCCTCTTGCCTCAGCCTCCCAAGTAGCTGAGACTACAGGTGCCTGCCACAACACCTGGCTATTTTTAGAAAAGGGGTCTCACTGTTGCTCAGGCTGGTCTTGAATTCATGAGCTCAGGCAACTGCAGCCTCAACCTCCCAGAGTGCTCGGATTATAGGCATGAGCCACTGTGCCCAGCCAATAATTTTTTTTTTTTTTTTTTACAGAGTCAGAGTCTCACTTTATTGCCCTTGGTAGTGTGCTATGGTGTCACAGCTCACAGCAACCTCCAGCTCTTGGGCTTAGATGATTCTCTTGCCTCAGCTTTCCGAGTAGCTGGGACTACAGGCGCCCACCACAACACCCAGCTATTTTTTGTTGCAGTTTGGCTGGGGCCAGGTTTGAACCCAACACCCTCAGTATATGGGGCTGGCACCCTATTCACTAAGCCACACGTGCCACCCACCAATAAAATATTTTTAAAATGTGAAATGGATAATAAAAAAATTAGAGGAACTAGTATAATTCTGCAAATGAAATTAACTTGGAAAATTAATTGAATTTAAATTTATCCATTTCCTACTATAGAAAATCCTATGTAAAAACCATTGTGTGGCTTGGCACCTATAGCTCAGTGGTTAGGATGCCAGCCACATGGGGCTGGCGGGTTTGAACCTGGCCTGGGCCTGCTAAAAACAATGACAACTACAACAAAAAAATAGCTGAGTATTGTGGCAGGTGCCTGTAGTCCCAGTTACTTGGGAGGCTGAGTCAAGAGAATTGCTTAAACCCAAGAGTTTGAGGTTGCTGTGAGCTGTGACACCATGGCACTCTATTGAGAGTGACTTAGACTCTGTCTCAAAAAATAAATAAATAAATAAAATAAAAACCATTGTGTGCTATTTTATGTCTTTTTTTTTTTTTTTTTTTGAGATAGAAGTCTCACTTGGTCACCCTTGGTAGAGAGCTATGGTGTCATAGCTCACAGCAACCTCAAATTCTTGGGTTCAAGTTATCCTCTTGCCTCAGCCTCCCAAGTAGTTGGGACTACAAGCATCCGCCACAACACCTGGCTATTTTTTAGAGATGGGGGTCTGGCTCTGGCTCAGGCTGGTCTCGAACCTGTGAGCTCAGGCAGTCCACCTGCCTCAGCCTCCCAAGTGCTGGGATTACAGGCATAAGCCACCTCACCCGGCCTGTTTTACATCTTAATTAACATTTTAGATAAGATGGTGACCTAAAAACCTCAGGTTATTTTGAGAAAAAAGTGTATAAATCTCTTTACTGAGTATATATTAAAAGTTATACTTGTTTTGTCCAAGCCAATTATTAGATAAAAAGCCTTTCTCCAAGAAAAATTATAAACCATGTTTTGGAGGCCTATATCTAGTCCTTAATGATCATAATGGGTGATTTCTTCTTCTACAAGGTCATGAAATACTTTTTGAGAGGTTTTAATACAGGCATCCTCAAACCATGGCCCACGGGCCACATGAGGCCCACCAAGGACATTTATCTGGCCCACTGAGTGTTTTTGGCACTGCTGCCTGTCCTGCTTAGTAGCCGACTTGTCCCAGGGCCTGCAATCCCGCCCTCCAGTGGTCTGAGGGACAGTGAACTGGCCCCCTGTTTAAAAAGTTTGAGGATCCCTGTAATATTTCACACATCATATTTTTCAAGAAAGCTTTATTCATATAGGGCTTTGCCAGGCATCTGTGTACAAAAGTCATAAATTCCTAAGAAGATATTTACGTTTTAAAAGATAATGAGAACAACAACCAAAAAAATCAGTCTGTTTGCC